GCGGGAAGGGCTCCTCAGTTGCTCCGCCCACGATCCCGACAGGCACTTCCGCTTCCGGTTCAACTTGGCCCGTCCTTAGATTTCCGCTTCCGGCCTCACGCTCACTCTGACAGTTACAGATTCTTGCGTTTGGTAACCGAAGCTGGGTAACGGCTGGGCAACGGCTGCACACCCATCCAGAGGGGCCAGCATTTCCAGTTTGCTTGGTGAGTTCAAGAAGGTGCCCTGGCTGGGTAGCCACGAGGTGAGGGGCGAGGCCCTGGTCCAGGGAAGTGGTTGTGGAGCAGGGTTGACTGAGCAGAGGACCCTTAGTTAAAGCCTGGAAACTAAAATGCAGGCGGAGACTAATTCTGTGGGCGGGGCTGTGGGCGGGGACTGGGCTGTGGGCAGGAACAGGCTGCGGGGAGGGGCCGGGTGTGGGCAGGCACCGGGTTTCCTGGGGCACTGCGTAGTGCAAAGTGGACAGCCTGCTGGGGGTGTGACGGGGCTGACTGCTGAGGCTTGTGGGTGAGACTGGGAGGAGGCGAGAGGACCGGCATTAATCAGAGGGCGGATGGGACACAGATCCTAAACTTGCACGCTCATCCCCGTCCTCACAGCCTGTTAGAACAAGACGGTCACTTTGAGGCTTTTCTGTGCGTGCGCACTTTTAACCTTCCTCATTTCTTTCAGAAATGGGATCATCTAGACATGCTTCTCACCAGCTTTTTCCCCTCAAGCCAGTGGGTAGGTCTCTCTGTTTTACCTTAAGTTTGTTTCTTTACTTAAAATTGGAGGGGATACACCGGGCTGTGTATACATACATAGGAAAGGCTCAGCCGTACAGTCAGTGAAAGAGCTTCAGTCCTACTTCTGTTTCTCAGCCCTTGTGCCCAGGTATAAACTGTCATTTTCTCTCGTATCTTTCCAGCTGCTATGTGTGTGGATACCATCGTTGTTTCTTCAGTAAATACCATCGGATCCCCACACACTCCATTGTTTTAAGTGTTGTGGATACGAATTACGTGAAGCACATCATGTGCATTTCACTTGGCAGGTTGAATAAAGGGTGAGCAAGAAAAGAAAATACGTGATACGCTAGGTTTTGGTGAATACACCGGGGAAAAGGTAGACACAGTGGAAGGACACGAGAATCCCTTGAAAGTAGCATAACCCCGAACTGATTGCGTTTTTTCTGTAGAAAGCCCTTAGAATTAGGTTTACTCCTACACAGTTTACGTACTGATTGCTCCCCCCTACACACACCTTTTTTTGTTTGTTTGCTCTTTGAGGCAAGGGTCTTACTGTGTAGTCCGGGCAGACCTGGAACTAACTGTGTGGCCAGGCTGCCCTCAAACTCGTGATCCTTCTGCTTCACCCCCGGAGTGCTAGGATTACAGGCGCCCACCCTCGAGGCTGGCTTATTTATTTCCTCTCTAAATATTCTTTTATAAGATTTTGGTATGAAATTAAGAATTTTGTAAGAATTTTATGGAACTCTGGATGCAAAGGGCTCCCTTCTAGCTGTGAGTCAGATGTGACGATGTTCGCATTTCCCCCATTTCCTTTATATTCGTACTCTTTATATGTATACCATTAATTCCTTTTGCCTCCTCGAGAGTAAGTTGAGGATATTATGTTCATTAGCCCCACCCCCCCAAAGAACCTCGAGTATGGATTTCATAATAAAAAGGTCATTTTCTTGCAGTAATGACTACAGTTGGGAAATCTCACTTTCCAGTGCTGTCGTCTAATACAACATCCTTGTGCACATTTTGTTGATTTTCACATCTTCCATAGCTGTTTTTTTTTCACCTTCCAGGATCCAATCCAGGATTGTCTTGCGTTTAGTTGACATATCCCTATAGTATCTGATCCGGAACAGTTTTTCATTCTTTGTTCTTTGTGATCTTGACATTTTTGAACCAGGAAGGCCAGGTGTTCTGTGAGTTGCTCAGAATGTCTCTGAAGTTGGTATTTCTCCAGGCGAATTGCAAGTTTGATGTATGTATGTATACTTAGCAGCATGTGTAAATGTGTAGGCATATTTGTTAACCTGTGGGAAAGATACTGCTACACAGGTGTATACTGAAACATCT